TTTTTGTTTAACCCAACTACAGGATTATAACTTGGATCTACTGAGTTCGTACACTACCATTGATCGGTGTATTTTTAAACATGTATCAGCTGAGTGGTGGAAAATTGATCACATTTCCACAAAAGTGCAAATGTTGACCCCAAAATTTGACCTAAAATTTGCAAAATAATTAATAATGATAACTAATACAACACTTAAGGTAGAGATGCAGTTTCTTTGTGAATTTCAATCAAAAATAGTTTTTTTCGTTTTTCATATAGATTTTTATCTAGAGAACATTCTGTGAAAATTTGATCAATGAATTCTTAATGGAACACCGTTAAAATTGCTGGTTATTTTCTGATTAAAAATAAAAAACACTCACACGTGGCAATGTTTATGTCCAATTGCCTAATTTGCATGAGTAAGCAAATAACAGGACCTTTGATTGACAATATGCAAATCGCGATTGTACGGGTCATAGTTCATTCAATCACGCGCATGTGCAATTATTCTGAAATCAGTTCTCGCTCGCTAGCAAACCAAACATTATATTTCCTCAGCGTTTTTTTCCTAATTTTTATCATTACATTATGCGTGGCGTAAAAAGAAAGAGAGGTAGAAAGAAGATTCAGAAGATTTCTATGTGGGAAGAGGCAAAATCTACACTGAAGGCATCAGACTGCCGAACGAAAAACAAAATCGATGAGAGCGTCCAAACGTGACTTTCCTTGGAGGCGTGAATCCGAGTTTCTGATTGACTGGGAGATTTTATTTTTAAATAATTGTTCTCAAAAAATAAACTGAGCATGTGAAGAATAATTTAACATTGTTTACCGTGATAACAACTCATTGTCGAAACGAAGCTTACCCATTCACGCTAGTCACAATAAACATCATACTCTTGAATAGGCGTCAATGACTACGGTAAAACTTAGACTCTATTTTAGCGTCAGGAATGATTGAAATGTCCGAAAATGAAGTCAAAATACCACAGTCACTTGGGGGCTGAAAATTATAAATACTAATTTTTAAAAAAAAAATCATCCGCTATACGTATATAAATAAACAAGTTGTGAAACACGG